TAAAATTATAATTTTAAATAATAAATATTAAAATTTCGAAATTAAAATTTATTTAAGAAGGTTTTTTAATATAAAAATTGAATTATAAATATCTGACGAACAAATTTTTTGTTTCAGTCCAAAAAAAACTTCCAAGTCAATCAGGTTTTTTTTTATTTTTGAAAGGGTGAAATCAAAGAAAAAAAAAGTTAGTGAGATTATTTTTTTTTTGCAGTGTGTAAAAGAAACAAGTTTTGCATATTAAAAAGTACACGACTCGAAGGTAAACATTTGTTTCACAAAGTTCGTTCCCATAGGTCAAGTATTTTTTTTTATTTATTGATTTATATCCGAGATTAAGGCCTCTAGATATAAATGTCTATCATAAATCCATTGAAATCCGGAGACAAAAACAGAAAATATTTTAATTTTTAAATACTAAAAATTGAAAAAAAAAATTTTTTTAATTCAATATTTTTTCAGAAGTATTAAACGTTTTTGTAAAATATGTTAATTTTTGTAATTTGTAGTTTAATCTATTTTGCTCGTATTTCATTTAAATTTTTAAAAATTCAAACTCAAAAGTGAATTTTTGTATATAAATTATTTTGCTATAAAAATTTTTCTTTATCATTTACTGTTTTTACGCTAATTATTTTTTTCACAATATTTATATTGTAGAGATGTAAATTCTTCTCAACATGGTTCGTATGGAAAAATATGCATTTGTGCAGCGAAGGAAATTAGATGGACGGACGGACATTGATTGCAATACTTAAATCTTTTAAAAGAGAATTTATCGAAGATTTCTCTAAACAATACAAAGAAGAAACTTTCATTTTTCTTCATAATTTTACTTTCATTTCTTTGCCATTATTTAATGGTTTAATGAAACTTATTTATTCCATTACGTTACAATATGAAAAATTAGGAAATAATTTTAAAAGAAAAACAGATTTCCCAAAAGGAAAATATTATTTTTTTAAAGATAATCTTTAAATATTTCTATTAGCTAATAATAATAAAAATAATATAATAATAGTAATACTAATATTATAATAATGAATTTTAGGTTATGTTTGTAATTTTTTAAATGAAAATCCACAAAGGAGATCAAACACTCAACATAAAACACTGGTTCAAATTGCATCTAAGATAATGAATAAAAACGGATTTTAATTTTATACAATTAAACCGAAACTTAGTAAGATAAAAATAATAGGCAAATATAACCTTAAAATAATTTGCTTCATTTGCTGTCTTCGGAGCGTGAAACATTTATTATATTACTGTAGTATTAAATATTAATATTATAAGTATATCATAAATATTATATTATCATAAATTATATAGAAAAAATTCTAAATTGAGACTTGTATAGTTAAAAATTTTTTTTTCAAAATAAATAACATTTTTTTTTTATCAAAATGAAACCTCGATAAATTATGAAGTAATATTATACTGCCGTGTAAAAATGTTAAAATAAGAAGATTGAATAATAATTTTGCATTATTTGTTATCTATTTATAAATTTTAATCATATTATGTATATCAATAAGAATAATAATTTATCAGACGATTAAAGGTTGTGTGGCAAATAAAAACAGTTTAAATATTAAACAGATAAAGTATAATTCGCGATTCAAGTGGAAAATCACGATAGCAAATGTACTAACAATGTTTGTTATGCATTTATATTTAATATTGATATATTTAAATTAAAAATAAACTATTATACATAAATATATATACCTAAAATAAGTACATTTTTATACATATATATATATATATATATATATAAACATATTTTTTGTATAATTCGATAATAATTTTATATTTATAAACTAAAATTTGAACAGACATAAAATAAAAATGGAATAATTTAATAGGCCATAAAACTTTTTTTCTATAAAGAAATTGACCTTTTTTCCGGTCTGCACTTGGGAGTTAATTAGCATAGAAAACGACCACATAAAATATATACATGTAGTCTCAGAAATTTGCATTCGCGAATATGTAACGAAATTCACAAAATATAAATTATGAACGATAGTGAATTTTGATAAAAACAGGTCTCGTGCCATTGACATTGAAAATCGAAACTCAAGCAAGGATTATATATATATATATATATAAATATAAATATATATATATATATATATATATATATATATATATATAGATATAAAAAATTATATTCCTTCATGCCCAGTGAATCAGAATAATATAAGAAGAGTTGCGGTTTAAATGGCGAAAGTGCTTGTTATCATTAGCATACATAATAATTCCGTACCATTTACTTTTATACAATTATACTCGCCTTCTTAACTTCTATTGTTACATATATTTTTTAAAAAATTTTTTTCTTATCAATATCATGCCTCGCGAGTAAAACCGTTATATATATATACTTTGCTTTAATAATAATTTCTTATATGTATCAAATTTCTCACATGCATTATATTTTCACTTTCATTAATTTTTTATGCAACTTATATTTTCAATTATTTTTCAACATTTATCATTATTATTATTATTATTACTGTTATTATAATTCTTGTTATTATTATTACTATTATTATAATTCTTGTGATTATTATTATTATTATTATTATAAACCATTGAAAATATTAAATTATGTTACGCACTCCAACAAAAGTACCTAAGAAGCAAATCATTTTAAGGTTATGTTTGCCTTATTTTTATCTTAAGATTTTCGGTTTAATTGTTGCATAAAATGAAAATCAATTTTTATTAATTAGTTTAAATGTAATAATGATACTTAAACATAAATGTTTTATAATGGAGGTTGATACCAATTGTGTATTTTTATTCAAAAATTACAAACATAACCTAAAATTTTTTGCTGTTTAGGTACTTTTCTTCAGAGCGCTTCACCCCAGTAAAAAAAAAAGTATTCAGAATAGAGAAAAAGTATTGGTGGAGACGTTCGGTGAATGCGTTTTCGCGACAAAACCGTATTGGTGGGTCACGGTGAATACATTTCGCTTACCGTGAATACTTTTTTTTTAAACTCTCGATTTAAAGATTCCTAAGCAAAGTTGAGAATATTTATAAAGAGCGTAAGTGACCTGAAGTATAAAAATGACTATTGCGAGAAGGAAATAAGAAATTTAAAAAAAAACGAAAAATTAAATGTGACAAACAGATTGTCAAATGTTGATCAATTACCATATGCTTTTCTGTGCCTACAACGTATGATGATTAAAAGGAACTTTGACGTTACCGGCGGAACTTACTGTTTCACATACATTTACTTGGATTTCTCAAGTTTCTGTCGGTATCGTCAATGTTCCTTTTCATCATCATACGCTGTAGGTTTGTCACATTTAATTTTTCGTTTTTTCTCAAAATTTCTTATTTCCTTCTCGCAATCGTCATTTTTATACTTCAGATCACTTACGCTCTTTATAAATATTCTCAACTTTGCTTAGGAATCTTTAAATCGAAAGTTTTTAAAAAAAGTATTCACGGTAAGCGAAATGTATTCACCGTGACCCACCAATACGGTTTTGTCGCGAAAACGCATTCACCGAACGTCTCCACCAATACTTTTTCTCTATTCTGAATACTTTTTTTTTTACTGGGACATACATACTTAAGTTTTAAATAATAAAAAATATCCTGTGCAATAATTATTAAGTTCAAGATTTATAATAATTTATAATAATAATAATATTATTATAAAAGAAATAAATAAAAATAGATAAAAAGTGTCTTCAAAGTATTACCGTTCGAAAATGAAAAGGTGGAGTGGGGTGAAGGAGGGTCAATTAGACATTAGTTACTGAATGTTAAATATTTATATTTATATTAAAAGGTACTTAGAATTTCATAACGTAGTTGTAAATAAATATGTAACACTCAATAAAATACAAAATTAGTTGCGCTCATAAAATCATAAAATAATATATCCAGGTGTAACGTGTAAGTAAAAAAGTTTTCGTAAGTTTTGATCATTTTAGAAATTATATTACCAAGTTTTTCTTAATACAGACATTGTTAAGTATAAAGAGGGTTAATAATCCGTGACTTATGGCAAAAAAAGAGAATAATTACATGGAAAAAAATTTATAAAAAATAAAAGTCGTATAGAAAAATTTTTCGCACTGCGGGCTAATAAGTTTTGATTCATGACATTGTTCTTTTATATATTGTATATATGTATATATATACAGTACGAAAACCTACCACGTCAGTCATATCCCATGAGTGGGAGTGAGACAGACTTATGCGATTCCCATACTTTCCTATGACTGACGGATAGCTTTTCTTACTGTATATACAAGATTTAACATTTTCTATAAGTAACTGCTTTACGTGCAAAATCAACTTAAAAAATGCAAAACCTCAAGAGAATTTTTTCTTATTTCACCTGTGGAATTTGACGCATTAAATAAAAAAAAAGTTGCAATTTGCGTCTACATCGATTGAACAGATATCAAAAAATCAATTAGTCGATATCGAAACCAAAATTAACAATAAATATTAGTTTTCTAAAAAGAATTTGAAAGAAAATTTTTTATTGCACAAAGTAGTTGTTGAAATAAATTGGGAAAACAATTTGGTAAGAATTACAAATGTGAAAAATTTATTACATACGAATTACATTTGTGATCGATATAAATTAAAAGTGAGGCAAGCCATGGAAAAACGGAAACTGAAAAGTAAGCTGACCAGCGTCAGTGAGAAGTTAGTCTCTAAACATCACGTGACTAGTGAGTCTGCACAGTGGCTCTATCTTTACCGCGAAATGAAAATAAATTTAAAGTAATAAGCACTTGTAAATTTCAACACTCCCTCTTGCTTATGACATAATTTTCATTTTCATAATGTTCAAACAATTTGCTTTGTCTTTTTGTGAAATTCCGGGTTTTTCGCAATCGCAATTGCTGCTTGATTGTCGACTTTCAATTCCGTTGCTTCCTTTTGCTGCATACCAAGAGATTCCAACAACGACCTCAGCCATAAGATTTCCTTTAAAGCTTCCGAAATTGCGACTATTCTGCCTCAGATGATGACAAGGCAGTAATTCTCTGCAAAATTGATGACCACGCTATTGGCCCGTCTTGAAACACAAACACGTATCCAGATGTAGATTTTCTTTCGGACAAATCTCCGGCATAATCTGAATCACTGTATCCGTGAAATTGTCCTTGATCATTTCCTTTGTAGACAAGTGAAAAATTCAGTGTTCCTTTCAGATATCTCATAACCTTTTTGACCGCTCTCCAATGCTGTTCTGTCGGATTGTTTGACTGTCGAGCAAGTGCATTCACTGTGAATGAGATATCTGGTCTTGATATCGTTGCGATGTAATTTAGACAACCCACTGCTTCTCGATAGGGAAAGGATTTCTGAGCAGCTTCCTCTGGCTCATTTTCGATTTCTGATAGCTTAACTGACAGGTCCATGGGAGCTGTCACTGTCTTGCAAATCTTCCATACTAAATCGACTTAAGGTTATGTTATTCAGTGGTCACGTGCCCCATATACTTTACTGTGGAAAAACTTCACACTGAATAACATGACCTTAACACTCTTCGAATGTATCCTTGTTGATTTACAGCGATTGCTCCTAACTTCCGATCTCGAGATATTTCCATTCCAACGTAACATGTGGGTTCATGATATGTGATTTTAAATTTCTTTTCCAAAGAATCGATGAATTTGTTCAATGAAGTCTTGCTCCTACTTGCGATCAATCCATCGTCCACGTACAAACACAAAATCATTTTATTATCCATGTCGGGGTTCATCACAAAAACACACGGATCTGCAGGCGATGGAACAAAACCGAAAGCAATCATAAAGTCCTTGAATAGTCCATTCCAATTCCTCGAAGCCTGTTTAAGTCCGTAAATTCCTCTTTGAAGGTGACACACATCCCCCGATCCATCTTCGAATCCTGGCGGTTGACACATGTAAATGTCCTCGTTCAATGGGCCGTTTAAAAAGGCTGATTTCACATCAAACTGAATCAACTCCATATCGTCCTTAGCTGCTGCAGCGATGACAGTTCGAACAGATTCATAACGAACTACTGGCGAGAACGTTTCGAAGTAATCAACGCCTTTTGTTTGACTGAATCCGCGCGCAACTAATCTGGCCTTTCGACGTTTTATTGTCCCATCCAGATTGAATTTCGATTTAAATAACCATCGACATGAAACAACAGGCTGACCCTTTGGCAATTGAGCGAGTTCCCACGTTTGATTCTTTGCGAGAGATGACATCTCCTCTTCCATTGCATTTTTCCAAAGATGAGCATCACTTCTCGAAATAGCATCCTCATAAGAGACTGGATCCAATGACACTTTCATCTCTGCAATATGATTAATTTTGTTCTGCCTATCTCTCAGTACTCGATCTGAAACAGGAATAATTCTCGGTTTATTTTTAGAACCTGTTGGTCGTCCTGCGGGATTTTTCGCTTTTCTCGGTGACAATTCTTCATCCAGTTCCGTCGAATGATACTCCTCCTCATCTGATGAGATGTCGGTGTCCATCGAAATTGATTCTTCATCAGGAAAGAGTTCAGCAACTACATCTTGCTCTTCAAGTGGCATTGGAAATAAAACTTGTTTATCCATATCGATTCTATCTTCTATCACGACATCCGAGACTCTTTCCACAATTTTCTTGACAGGATCAAACACTCGATAAACTTTATCCGTTAGAAAATCATAACCGACGAACACACCTTTCCTGGCCTTCGGATCCATTTTCCTCCTCATGGAATCTGAAATACGAACAAATGCTTTTGCACCAAATACGCGAAGATGAAAAACATTTGGCTTCTTTCCATACCACTCGTTGTCTGAAGTCGTTTTTGTCAATCCTCGATTTGGAACGCGATTGCGAAGGTGAGCAGCTGAGCCAACAGCTTCCGGCCACAACAAAAGTCTATCTGTTTTGGATAAATCTGTATTAAATAACATTGAACGAGCACTGTCACATAGAGTCCGATTTTCTCGTTTAGCCATTCCATTACACTGTTTCACATTCGGCGGCGAAAATTCGTGAACAATATTTACAGACTTCAAAACCTCCCTCACCTTTTCATTCACATACTCGGTTCCATTGTCGGTTCTCAACGAAAGTGCCACTCTACCAGTTTCTCTCGATGCATCTACGAAAAATTGTTTTAAAATACTCGACACACTTCGTCTTTTGTTTTTAAAAAGAAAACTCGACGATATCCGCATGCCTCATCTTTCACTGTTAGAAAAAACTCGCACTTATTCCACGACATTACACCAACATGACAAACGTCCGAATGGAAACGTTGTCCAGGAAGACACTCACGCTTCTCACGAGTCGGATGCACATTGTTCGTCTGCTTTCCAAAATGACAAGAATCACAAACATCTCGCTGATTGAAAAACAATTCAAGTCCTTCTGCGAGTTCATTCTTCGACATATCACGGATTATCTTATCACTCACATGTCCAAGTCGCTAATACCATAAACCTATCGATTGAGCGGCATTTACGGACAGCGCTGGTAACAAAATTCGAATAAATGGAATGTATTGATTCCCGATCGTTTTTCCACCTAATACAGTTTTCTCTTTAATAAGTAAACGCATAATTCCATTTCCATAATAAAAACTGTATCCTCGTGTTTTTTCCATAAACGTTGTAGAAAATAACGACTCACTTCCCATTGCTTTCGCATAATACACATTTGTCCACAAACACTTTTCCCAACTCTTGCCGTCAATCGATTTTTCGACCGAGATATTGCCCAAAGTTTTCCCATTGGCAATATTTAGTATCAATGGCGAATCAAGCTTTCCAAGATCTGAAAACCAATCTAACCTCCAAGTTAGATGAACACTCGCCCTCGAATCTGCAATAATCTGGTCATCCGTGTTTATCTTTAAAACATTTTTTAATATGTCCCTTTTTACCGCACCCGTGACATCTGCCCTGAAATTTCTTATTAACCGGTTTAATTTTCGATTCCTGAAGCGACTTCTTTTGAATCCTAAAAACATCATCCGATGCAATATCTCAGCGAACGGTGACACTTCTTTCTGCATCGGCCAGTTTTTATAAAAAGGCATCCAACGTCTCATTATTCGATAAAAGGGACCAACTCGTAACAAAACTATCGAAATGTTTTGGCAAACAACCTAGAATTTTCGCCATAATAAGTTTTTCATTAAACTTATCCTTGAAATCATCCGAATTTAAACTCTCGATTTTTCTAGCGATTAATTTTAATCCAGCAACGAATGTACCAACCGTATCATCCGGTTTCCACGTGTAATTGAAAAACTCACGTAACAGTTCGAGAAGAACATTTAATGTTTCATTGTCCTCGAATTATAATTGTGTTTAAACAATTATTAGCTAACAAATTTCAGCTTAATAATAACAGCGATTCACAACACAACACAATTGTGATCACCAAATACAATTTCCCTATATAACCTCAAAATACACTCTGCGACGCGAACGCGTTTCAGTCTCATAATCTGTTGAAATAAATTGGGAAAACAATTTGGTAAGAATTAACAAATGTGAAAGATTTATTACATACGAATTACATTTGTGATCGATATAAAATAAAAGTGAGGCAAGCCATGCTTTCGACAAGCCATGGAAAAACGGAAAATGAAAAGTAAGCTGACCAGCGTCAGTGAGAAGTTAGTCTCTAAACATCACGTGACTAGTGAGTCTGCACAGTGGCTCTATCTTTACCGCGAAATGAAAATAAATTTAAAGTAATAAGCACTTGTAAATTTCAACAGTAGTCAAGATTTCAAGATTCAAAATATATTTATTGATATAAATCTCTTTACAATTACAAAAGGTTGTATACATTGCTGGCAGTGTTAAATGCAAGACTGACGCTTCTTGCTTTTTGCTTTTGATCTCTAGTTGATGATTAGGTTGATGCAATGAGCATCTTTACCTTTGATGTCGGATAATGAAAAGTGAGTTATATCATAGAAGATGAACTTAGTAGGATTTAGATTGGGCTCACGTCAAGTATTTCTACTATGCGGGGGCGCCGTTTTCTAGGACGGCAGTCTTTTGGATTGTAGTCAAGTATGTTGTTGAGCAGGATATTTTTCTGATTCTCGACTTGATGGAAGAGTTTAATTGCTAAGTCTCGTCCGTAATTGCGCACCGTAGGAATTTGGAGATCCCTATGTAGTTGATCGTTGGTCACGAACCATGGAGCGTTCGTTATCATCCTCAGGAACTTGTTTTGGATAGTTTGGATTTTCTTGATGTGGCAGTTGGCAGCAGATCCCCATGTGGCTATACAGTAAGTTATAGCAGGACGTATGACTGAGAGAAATATAAGTCTCTTGGTTGTCCAACTTAAGTGAGGATTCTTGAACAGACCAAAAATAATGTTTGAAAAATTCACTTGTAAATTATAATGTGAAAAAAAAGGAATGTAACATTGGATAAGGATGAGCAAGAACTCAATGATACAACAAAATTTGATGCAAAGAAATTCACATTTATTTTTTATAATAGTAATACAAATCATTGAAAAAACTTACGAACAGGATTATAAATATCGATTATGATATGATTCCCAGACTTAACGGCAATATTTTATGCGCGCGACACTCACACTTCAAAAACCATGCGAAGACTGGCTCAGACTCGCTCCGGTTCCTACCACCACTTATGACTAGAGCGCCGAAGCAGTAGAAGGGGAAATCGAGTCCCAACAGCTGGCAACGTTGCGTAGAAGGTTAACAAACAATTAAATCATAAACATCCCGCCCGCCTCGTTTGGCAAACGAAAACTCTAAAGTAGGAAAAGAACAAAACAGAAAATTGTGCCGCCCGCCATGAAGTATCGAATTAGTGCAGCATATGAAGGAGTTTACACCGTAAGCCTTAAATATAAGCCTCCGCGCGCATAAACGGATATACCTCCAGGAGCATATATTTGCGCCTGCGCGAACACGTGGTCAAGGCAAACTCTTTCACAACACAGCTGCAGGCAAACACTTTGCGCAGACGCAAGTATATCCTCATGGAGGCATATCCGTTTATGCTCGCGGAGGCTTATATTTAAGGCTTACGGTGTAAACTCCTTCTATGTACAAAAAGGACTAAATTTTCAAGTCGAAGTTGGTAACAAACATAGTTTCGCGATGGGACGGGTGTAGGTTCCGGATGCAGTACGAACACAAGCAGAACGAACGAGTCCATCCTTACCAGGAAAAACTTCAGTAACACGACCGAGAGGCCAATTTCCTTGCCTTAACAAGGAAGGATCGAGAATCAATACCAAATCGTTAGTTTGCAAATTCTTCTTTTTCTCAGCCCATTTATTTCTTTGTTGAAGTGTATGGACATATTCTCGAGACCATCTGCTCCAAAAGATATCTCTCATAGCTTTAACTAATCGCCATCGAGTAACATAGTCTAAGTTTTCATTCGTGCTTAAGGCTTCAGGAAATGAATAGAGAGCCCTACCAACTAAAGCGTGATTCGGAGTAAGGGCTTCTACATCTTCTGGGTCACCAGAGATCGGCAGAAGAGGACGAGAATTCATACATGCTTCGATTTCCACAACTAATGTGGACAATTCTTCATATGTGAGAGCACGAGTTCCAATTATCTTTTTAATGTGTGACTTTGCTGATTTTATATTTGACTCCCACAAGCCACCAAAATGAGGCGCGGAAGGTGGTATAAATTTCCATTTAATTCCTCGGTTGGCTAATGTGTCTTCAACGACATTCCAATCAATTTCAGCGTCATGCAACATGGATCGAAGTTCTGCATCGGCCCCGTGGAAAGTAGTAGCGTTGTCACTCCATATTTCGCATGGCGTTCCGCGACGTCCAATCAATCGCCGAAGGGCTCCAATAAACGATTGTGTGGTTAGGTCTCCGACTATCTCGAGATGTACAGCTTTCGAACTTAAGCACACAAACAGTGCCATATAACCCTTGGTGGATCGAGCGCCTCGACCAGTGATTCGTTTTATAGAAAAAGGTCCTGCATAGTCGACGCCGGTTTTCTCAAAGGGATGACTAACAGTTACTCTTTCAGAAGGGAGATTTCCCATAAGCTGTTCGGATCTTTGAGCCTTATGTCGAACACATGTGACACATTTGCGAATATGAGCCTTAACTCGCACACGGCCACGAATAATCCAAGCTCTTTTGATAGCGTTCGAGTAAGTCAATTGAAATCCACCATGTAAGGCTGTTCGGTGAGCCTGGTCGATTATTAACCCTGCTAATGGACTATTTCCATGTAAGATGATAGGATGATGTTGATCATAGGGCAACGCAGAATTTGCCAGTCGTCCACCGACTCTCAATATCCCCATTTGATCGATGAAAGGATTTAATCGATAAAGTTGATTGTGATGAGGAAGATTTTTTTTTGGTATGATTTCTAATTCTTCTTTAAAACTATTGCTTTGACTGAGGAAAACACAAGCGAGAAATGCTCGCTTTATTTCATCAGGTGGTAGTCGCAAGCGAAAAGATTCACTGCGATACGGCATTGGCTTTAAAAGGAGTTTAAATCTTAGGCATCTTGCTATAACTCTTAATAATCGTGTTAAACATGAAAAGCGACTGATGATCGTGTCAGTTCGGTGCAAAAAGAGACTTTGAATTGATGTTGAGGGTTCTGTCAACTTTTCGAGAGTTTCGCTTTTCAAATAACGAATGATAAATTTCTTACATTTCCCAAAATTCTGATTCAATAGGTGAAGGAGTATTTTTCGACAAAACAGCCGACATATTAACATGGTAACGATCAGTTGACTTATTAACAGCCTCGTGGTGTTAATATACCACCATTAAAATAATACAAAATTATATTATGAAAATAAAATATTTAAACTCACTTATAATTATCCGGAAGAGTCGTCCGTTGTTTTCCATGAAATGCAGTATAAAAGAAAATTTTAAAATTTCTTGAGAAAATAGAGACGGTCTCGTGTCTGCTTCTGCTCGTTTCGTTCGTGTAGTTCCGTCGTTGTTCGGCGCTCTCTGCTTCTCCCCGCAACTTTCTTCTTCAACGCTTCGTCGTCTTGTGGGTCCGCGTCGGCGTCGTACCTGAAAATAAACTCTAAAGGAGAGTCTCCAACAGGTGCCAATATATGTGCAAGTGCCAATCCCCAATACATTAGGTGCCAATGTATGTGCAAGTGCCAGTGCCAATCTCCAATACATTTTAAATGGGTTTGGCACTGGCACTTGCACATGCATATTTGCACCTATTGGAGACTCTCCTTAAGTTACCGCGCAGCCGCAATAGTAGTATTAGGTAATTCAAGTTGGTGGGGAAATCCTATATGGCTGATATTGTTGTGGCGGGAAATTTAAAACGTACTTTATACTATAAGTTATTTTTTAAACTATAATAAAAATTATTATATTATTACTAATAATTATAAATAAACAAAATTATTAATTATTTAATAATAATAATTATTTTTATTCTTTGACTCGTAGTGATCGATATCTTCATGTTTTATAATAATTAAAGATGACCAAGTGATAAAATAATTATTTTATATTAATCTTTAAATATTGTGTTTTTCTTATCAGGAAAAATTGTTTTTATATTTTTTAACTATATTCGAAAAAATTTGTTTAATTAAATACAAATAATAGAATAAATAATAATAATAATAGAAGAAATAAAGAGATTCAGTAAATTAAAAAATACATTGTTTTTTCTTTTTGAGACACCTTGTATGTAGTTGATAAAACGTGCCTACATATAAATATATATATATATATATATATATATTATATATATAACAAAAGTTGTGCATCTGTAACTTTATAATGTCTATAGATTTTAACGATATACGTAGTTTCGTACGTAATGCGCCAGTTTGTGATAAAAGCGCCTCTATACATTGATTCGTGAAACTATTTCTTTTCTATCTCTCTCTCTCTCCTTCTCAACCCTCTCACTTAACCCTTATCTCCTCCTCTCTCTCACTGGATATTCTTTTCTCTCTCAACTAATCCCCTCTTTTCCCTCAATAGCGTACTATTCATTTTCACCCCTTGAAAATATTATTATCAATTATTATAATTATTATTATTTTATTATTCTTTATTATTATTATTATTATTATTATTTAAACATATTTTACTATTTTACATTTCATTATTTTATAAGTTTTATCATTAGTTTTCTTATTAATAAGATTATTGATAATTCCACATAATTTTTCTTAAACTTTATCATTAACAATAATATTATTATTATAAATAATTATTTTTACTTTTACAATCATTATTATTCTTACTTTTATTATTTTTAATATCATTATTATTATTTTTATTATTAATTATTATTACAAATTATTATTTTGTAATAAAGGGTGCTTACCCGTGTAATATTTAAATAAATAAAACCGCTGCCACGTTGTATATTTTTGTTATAATTTTGGTGCTCATTTTATTGTATGAACACTTATTTGCTTTCTCATAGAGATAATAATAATAATAGAAATATATGAATAACTTTTTATAAATATGGTAAAAGTGATTGAATCTTGGGTCAAACAATGTATTTTTAAATACCCTACAAGATAGTTATATAATAGTTTGATATTTAAAGAAAAGTTTTCAAACAAAAAAGTTGAGAAAATGGCATTTTCCACAAATTTTGGTTTTTAAAATACCAATAATTTCGAAATTTATAATCGAATTAGGTTCAAAAATAAGTTAATCGAAGCATTTTCTAATGCTCTACAAGTTGGTAACGATACTTTTAAAGTTACTTCTACATTTTTCAACAAAATTTTTTAAAAAATCTTATTTTCCACAATTTTAGATTTTTTAAAGCGTTTAATATCTCCGGTTAATATGGATAAAAAATGTTCATCGTTATTCTGAAGTAAAAATTTATCAACTCATTGTATTTTAACCAATAATTTCAAAATTTGAGGCAAAATACCATTTTAACTGATTTGAATAAAATTCTGCTTGAATCAAGTAAATATTTATTTGATAATATAGACAAGTAATCGGCTATTTGAATCAAATTTTTTCAACGTATTATTATAATTCTTAATCTTATTTTTTTAACATTATAGTAATTTTTGTTATATTAATATCCCAGTAATTAAAGTTGTTAATTTCTATCCAATTCAATTTTCTGTAACCACGTGACCAGAATTTGTATCCCCTTTAAAGAATTCAAGTTAATTAAAAGGCATTAACTCCGCAACTAATGATTCCCTTAAACGGCATTAAAATGAATTCAGATTCTGGTCACGTGGTTACAGAGAATTGAATTAGATAGAAATAAACAAGTTAATTGTAAAAAAATTTATATAACAATTGAGACGCGCTTTCAAGAAAGATACCTAAGAGGCAAAAGAATTGTAGGTTATGTTTATGTTAGGTTTATCTTGATTAAAAGTGCCTTTTTAATTATGTAAATTTGAAACTAGTTTTTAGAATATTTTTGTTATACTGAAGTCTTAAACGTCAATAATTTGTAAAAAAAAAATTGTACCTTTCTGTCTTTAACTTTTTTATTGCTTTCCTTTAGTGAGTAAACTTACTAAAATTAATAAAAAATACAGTAATAATATTTTTCAAAAAAATAAATTAAAGTAAAATAACAAATAAATAAAAAAAAAATAAAAGACAAAAATAGAAGATAAAAAATATAAAGAAATAAATAATAATAATAAAGAACATGGAAAATATAAAAAATAATAAAAATAGAAGATACAAAATATAAAAAATAATAAAAATAGAAGATGAAAATATAGAAAATAATAAAAATAGAAAATAAAAAGTATAAAAAATAATAAAAATAGAAGATGAAACTATAAAAAAACATTAAAAAAAGAATATAAAAAATACAGAAATTAGTTGAAATGTAAAATGAAATAAAGTTAAAAATAATAAAATACCAACAAAAAATAAAATATTTTTATTTACTTTTATTTTATTTAAATGTATAAAGGGACTTAGAAAAAATTCTGACAAATTAATCAAAAAATAGAAAAAGTTTTAAGAGATTAAAAAGAAAATTTTTTAAACAAAATAATTATTTTTAACAGTAAAAAAAAATTTATTTTTGAAAAAACAATTTTTTAATAATTCCCACTGTTGAGTACCCAGAATTTTCATTCACAATTTACGTCCCTGTTTTCGTGAACCAGCGCTTTCCCTCTGTCTTTCAACCCCCAAACTAGCCGCCCTCTTACACGGTGAACAGTCGCTTTCACCAAGCAAAGGACACTCACCACCGTTTTCAGTAAAACTCGTCCTCTTCCTAAAATTTTCACGTTTCCCGCATTAAAATTAAAAAAGAAAAGAAAATCAAAGAATAAAGTAGTTTAAAATAAAAAAAAAAAATTTTTTCCACCCCTAAAGAAAAATTTTTATTTCCTACACTCTATATACCTGTATATATATAAATACTCGTGTGTTTGTTATAAATGTCATGTGAGTTTTTAAAAAATAATCATCAATGGCGTGTAAATCGAAAACAATAATTGCATCGGAAAAAACAACAACAACAACGACAATATCAAGAATTATTTTCTGCACAAAAATCAAGAAATTTATTCATTATTTAAAAAAATGAATATTTATCCGACATCATGACAAAGGTACGATTCTGTGAATATAAAGTAATTTTTTATACTCGACACAATTTTTTTTTTATTGACAAAAAGAATTTTTCCTTTTTTCATTTCTTTAGAAGAGAATTTTTTTCTTTTCTGAACCACCCACACATTTTTTCTTTTGCTGTATGTTTCAGCACCATCTTCTCGTTGCGCAAGACTTTTTTTTTATTTTTAAAATATTTTTTCTTGTCCCTAATCGAATTTGAATTTATTTTCGAAAAAAGAAATCAAGGGGGTAGGGGGTAATTTTAAATTCTTTCTTTCTTTCTTTTGCGAAAACGAATTTGCAAATTTAAAATTTCCAATTAATTTGGAAAAGAAAATTATTCAAGTTGAATTTTTTATGGCTTTTTTCGGGAAAAATTTTCGGCTTGGAAAAAATAGTTTTTTTGCGAAGACACACAATATACCTAAATGGCGTCCTTGTCATTGACGCACACGATCAACTTGTGTTTCGCATGAATGAGCAATGGCGACATTTCTCGCGGACCATACATAAGTTTTCGAAATACTTACAAATGTAGCGCTGTATTGATTTATTTAAAAAAAAAATTATTTTCCAAAATAACCATATTTTGCAAAATTAAAAATTTTTTTTTGCCTTTTGTCTTGTTTTTCGAGGACAAGTCACGTCGAATAATTAATTTCTTTTTTTCTTCTTAATTCGTGTCTGAAAATCGTTAACATTTTTTATAAAAAAAAAATTTTTTTGCCATCAAAATTCTTGAAGAATATTATAAAAGTTCCCGTGAACTCTGCCCTTCTCTTTCGTTCATTCGCGTCTATTGATCATCATATGGTGATTCGTTGGCTATTAATGAAAGAGAAAAGAAAAAAGAAGCAAAAGAAATAAAAAAGAAAATTATTCAATGCAGTGATAATATTAACGAGTTTAATAAATATCTAATGCGTGTGAGTGGAATTTAAATTGATTTCTTATTTTCGTGTGAATGTTAAATAAGGGCGTCGACATAAGCGCGTTGGGGTTGGTCAGTTTCCTTACTCCGATTCACACAGTGATGCCGCATTCCCATATTTTGAATGAGACACTCGCCACGTTTCGAATTTCCCCCTTCAGAGTAATTCACGATTTTTTATTATTTGTGATGTTAGATTTTTCTCTCCATTCTCATTACTTTTGGATTTTAAAAAGAAAAATTGTTTATTTTTGTTATTATAAACAAATGCTATTTTTATTTCAGAAAAATTTAAAAATTTAAAAAAATTTTTTAAAATTCTATTAAAAAAAATATTTTCGTTTTTCCGATGATCATTATATTTTTCCGATGGAATTTCCAATTTCGTTCCGTTCAATTCCGATTCAATTCCAAATATTGAAATTACTTTTTTGATTGAAATTCTATTAACAAACCAATAAAATGCAATTAAAATTTCAAATTCTAATTGGAATCTCAACTAAAATCCAATTCAGGAAAAAATATTCGTTCCTATCAATTCTGAATTAATTTCGAATTGAAACATTGCACTTTTAATTAAAATTCCACAAGAGATACTAATAAAATTCGATAAAAATTCCAATTTTTACTTGAAATCTGAATAAAAATCAAATTATGAAGAAAAATATTTTCATCGGAATTCCGGTAGAATTTTCGAATTCCGAATTGAAAAATTGAATTATAATTATTCCATTCACTAATAAAACTAGATGAAAATTTCGATTTTTAATTCAAATCTTAAAGTAAATCTAATTTGGCAAAAAAATATATATTTCCTTCGGAATTCTGGTAGAATTTTTAATTTCGTTTTGATCAATTCCCATTCAATTCCGAATTGAAATTATATTTTTAATTTGAAATTGTATTGACAAACTAATCAAATGCGATTAAAAATTGAAATTTCAATTGGAATCTAAACGAAAATCCAATTCAGGAAAAATAATTTTCCATCGGAATTTCTTAGGAATTTTAGAATTCGTTTTAATCAATTCCGAATTAAAAAATTGAATTATAATTCCATTGACTAATAAAACTAGATAAAAATTTCGATTGTCAATTCGAATCTCAAAGAAAATGCAATTTGGTTAAAAAAAATATTTTCTATATATAGGATTTCTGGTAGAATTTCCGATTTTTTTTTAATCGATCCAATAAATTCCCATCACAATTTCAATTTTAATTATAGAAATCCAACGAAAATCCAATAAAATTTTTATAAAACTTCTGATTTTACTTAAAATTTACATAAATATGCGACTTTAATTATAAAGTTCCATAGAAACTTCAATAAAATTTAATTGGAATTTCCAAAATTTCAATTTAATTGAAATTCTTATAAAATTCCAACGAAATCCAAAATTTTGTCAAAACAAAAATTACAATTGTAATTTGATCTTCATCAAAATTGAAAATATAAAGTGAAATTCTTTCAAAAATTAAATTTCAAATGGAATTCTATCGAAATTTTTTTGAATTCCAACGAAAATCCAATGGAATTTCGACAATATTCCGACTCCGTTTTGGAATCTCAACGAAAGTTGAGTATTTAAAAATCTAAATTTAATTCGAATTTGATCGAAAATCCAAAGAAATTACACATAAAAATTTAATTCCAATTGGAATCTTAGTAAAAATCTACTGTAATTCCGTTAAGTTTCCGAATGTAATTGAAAGTATTAACCAAAATCCAATGGACTTTGGATAAAAATTTTGCTTTCAATTACGAAAGTTAGTAATGCAATGGAATGTTGTCAAAATTTCTATTTCAATTCGAATCCAATCGAAATCAAGGAAATTAAATCGAAAATTACTATCGGAATTTCTAACGGACACTTTCCGGAAAATTTTTTCAAGTCGAATAGTAAAAAAGTATATATATGTTAGAGGCAGAAATTACTTTACAAGTATTTTTTCTTCCTAAAAGTATAAAAATCAGTAACTAACATTCGTTTTAAGATCGTTTTTCCCTTAAATAAACAAGCGAAAAACAACCTAAGAACAAATGAAAGTTACTTTGTACGTTAGATTTTTAATTTATAACAATTTTAAAAATAGATTGTTGATCATACAAAAAATAGATAAAATTAAATGAAAACGTTGAGGCTAATGATAATTTGTTTAAAATTGATGCATTGCGATAAATTTTTGCCTATTTGGAATAAAAAATGATATTAATGAGCCTAGTCAAAATCTAGAGAAAAGAAGCTCTCGGTAACAAAATGCATTCATCATCTTACAGAATCTGAAATACTTGCTTCCACCTACTTCTGAATTTCATAAATTCCAATGTAACTAATGCAAGTGGTTCGAGGTTCATCATATAGCATGAGGGTTGCAATCTATTAAAGCCCGATCGTCCATCGTTAGGGGGATAAACGACAAGAAGAATCAGGATGAGCGATTGTAGTAATATAAGGAATACCTGCAGGATAATACTTTGACTAAAATCTTCTCTGATCCTGGGATGCGATTCTGTAATTTCACTTCAGTTCCCCTCACTTTCATTTCATCTCAGTTTCACCCCACCTTCACTTCACTTTACTTCTCTTTCACCCCCCGCCCTCTAACTTTCGTTCAGTTTACTTCACTTTCACTTCATTTCACTTTCCTTTCACTTCACTTCTTTTCTCTTTTACCCCACTTTCACTATACACTCTTTCGTTTCACTTCACTTTCACCCAACTCTAATTTTTAACCCACCTTCACTTCACTTCATCTCATTTTCATTTCACTTCACTTCATCTTATTTTCCTTTTACTTCATTTCATTTTGACTTGATTTCTCTCTCACTTCTGCCTCACGTTCACCTGACTTTCACTTGACTTCATCTCACTTTCACTTTACTCGAATTTCACTCCACCTTTATTTTACAAAACTTCATTTAACTTTCACCCCACTTAACTTACTCTCTACTTTCATTTACTTCACTTAACTTTCACCCCGTTTCAGTTCAAGTCATTTTAACTTCATTTCAATTTCACTTCACTCCAATTCACCTTCACTTCACTATCACCCCAATGTGAAGTGAAAGTGGGATGAAAGTGAAGTGAAGTAAAATAAAAAGTTAATCTATTTCCACTTCACTATCACCCCAAAGTGAAGTGAAAGTGGGATGAAAGTGAAGTGAAGTAAAATAAAAAGTTCACCTATTTTCACTTCACTATCACATTAAAGTGAAGTAAAATAAAAGTTAATTGAAATCAAGTGAAATAAGCAGAGCTCTAACTAGGTCCGTAAATCCAGTAAAGATCCGTAAATTTGCTTGATGTCCGTAAAAAGTCCGTTTTTTTTTAAAAAAAAGGTCCCACCCTTTTTCTAAGGATATCAAATTGAGACAAAAAACGAATCAAAAGTGTTGTGAAGCAACATTTTGATTCGCTTTTTGTCTCAATTTGATATCCTTAGAAAAATTATGCCGTAAAGTCTGTAATTTGATTGAGAGAAGACGAAAAGTTCATAACATGTACGATATAATTTATGGAGAATTTAAAAAAAATTACAAATGATTGCAGAAGTTCAATTACTTTCAAAAGTAATAAAATTCTTAAGAGAAATTCAATGAAATAATCAAAATTTTTTTAAATTCTCGTCAAAATTTCAATTCTCTTTATAGAAATAAATTAAATTTTTCTCCGAAATTCAATTATTTTCAAAAATTTTAATAAAATTCTTGGCAAACCTTTAATTATTTTCATAAAATAATAAAAATTTCACGCAGGAATTCAATTACTTACAAATTTTTTATCAATTTCTTCGCAATCGTTCAATTATTTTCATAAATAATAAAATTTTTACAGGGATTCAATTATTTTCGTAAATAATAAAATTCTTTTTAGGAATTCAATTATTTTCATAAACAATAAAACTCATCGTAGAATTTCAATTATTTTTAATATAATTTTAATAAAATTTCTCAAAAAATGTAATTATTCTTAAAAACTTTTATTAAAATTCGTCAAAAGAATTCAATTTATTTAAACATTTGTTGATAAAATTCTTTATCAGAATTCACATTTAAGAAATATT